TAACCACAATATTTTGTGTGTGTGTGTAGTTTGCTCTCTGATGGAAGAATAGGATCTCTATATAATAATTTTTAAAAATTATATGGGATTCTCTCCAACTGGTAGAGTTGGGACAATTTCTACTTTTGATTTCCTTTTTTTTTTTTTTTAATATTCTTCAGGAAAAGAAAAATGAAACACTTTTTGGTAATAAGAAAAAGATACTTTAAAAGTTTGGGGGGGTTGGTTTTTGTTTGTTTGGCTAGTTGGTTGGTTAATTGGTTGTTTTTCTCAAAAGGCAAAGTTTTCATTGCCATAAAGCTGCTATCCAGAGCATTACTACAGTCAGTTTTTGTTTTGTTTGTTTTTAAAGAATATGTTTGTAGTTTGCCTCTCAGGGTAGACTTGGTTTCTGTGTGATTTTGTAGACATGTGAATTTACCATCTTCACATGTTTCCTGAGTTAAGTCTAGAGCTCTTAGAAGCATCATCCCCTGTGTTGAATTAATCAATTTATTTCCTTCCAGGCTGGTGTTTGGAATGCTCTATCCGGCGTACTATTCCTACAAAGCTGTGAAGACGAAAAATGTCAAGGAATATGTAAGTAAAATTTCAGTCATTCTCATTTTACATGTCAACAGTACACAAACCGCGGGTGACTGCTGCTGTTTGGGAGAGTGAGACTGAGGTTTTGTGCAGTCATGAAAATAATCGTTTTTTAAACGCTAACTTTGACAACAGCTAACAGTAAAGCTTCAAGTAGCCTTCCCTGACCCCTGGCACTTCAAGGAGTGCAGAGCTCCCAGGAGGGGGGATGGGCTGCTTGGGCAGTCTGACTCACAGTGGACTCGGGTCTGTGGGCCGGCTTGTTTGCTGGTCCAGCTTTGGAGGACTGGTTGTAGTTTTCTGGTCTGTGATTCTACAGATACCCTGAGAATGCATCTTCCTGCACAAAGCCTCTGCTTTCATGGATCTCCTCTCTCTTTTGATTGAACGCGTGCCTGCCTCATCCCTGTTGACAATGGCAGGCTTGAAGCTAACTTTATTTGTAATGATTTTGTTTTGTTTTGTTTTGCTTTGTGTGTCTCCGCATGCATGGAGGCACACCTTAGTGCACATGCATGTGGAGACCAGAGGAAGAAGTAGGATGCATTCTCTTTTTATTCTTGGAGACAGGGTCTCTCTGGGAACTTGGAGCTAACTGGTTCCATTAGGGTAGGGAGCCAAAGAGCTAAAGAATCCCATCCATCCCAGTCTCCCCCGTACCAGGGTTACAAGCATGTATCATAGTGCCCAGCAGTTTGTGTTGTTTGGGGCTTCTGAACCTGGATCCTCATACTTGCCTGTGAGCCCTGAGCCCTGGCATAGCTTTCTGTTTTATTAGAGTGCATTTCCAGCGAATGACAAATGTGTACCTTGGACAGTTAATCAAAAGAAAAGCAGACAGTATGAGATAACTCGAGCCAATCAGTGGGTCTCCTTTTTTGAGTGACACTCAGGAGCCGGAATATCCATTTCTAAATGAGCAATCTGGTTGCATTTAGTACTTTCTCGGTGCTGTACAGACAACAGACGCCATCTCCTTGGAGCTCTCCTCGATCTAAAGTGAAACCCCGGCTCATTAGGTTGTGCTCCCTGGAGACATTCCCGTCAACAGAATCTTGCCATAGTGACCTTTTGTGTGTTTGGCTTCTTTTGCCTGCCGTGATGCGTTTTAGGTTCATCCGTGTTTTCACATGTTTCAGCCTTTCAGTTCCTCTTGATGGCTGGAACAGTGCTCCATTGTATTGGTTAACCAAACAATGGGCTGCTCATCTGCTCGTCCGCTGACAGACATTTGAATTGTACTGCTCCTGTCTTTGGGCTCTCATGAGTAATGCTGGCACAAACACGCCCATGTGGGCATCTGCTCAAGTGCCCGCTTTGGGCTCTTGGAGGTGTATTATTACTGTGGCTCTTTGTGAGGGACCTTGGTTGGCAGGTCTGTCGTCCAATTCTTAAGAGATCACAAAGATCAGAAATCCAGTCTTGATTCTTGAGAGTCTGTTTGCAGGTATTTGAGGTTGCAGAGAGCCACTGGCTGAAACTTTGGCAATTAACCTATTGAACTTTTATAGTCATTTTTCTCTTTCATATAAAGCCAATTTTTGTAATGAAGTGTATGTATGCATAGACCCATATACCCCAGTGATAATGGTGAAATACATTTATGAGAGGTAGAGAAGTTACTTGGGTGTGCTCTGGAGTTTTTAAATCCTTTTATGATACAGATCTCTTGGATCTAGGATTGGGAAAGTAGTCTTAAGACATGGAAGCCTATTAAGTCATACTAATTTAAATTCATTTTATACATGGCTTGAAGGGACATATTTCAATATATACTGTAATAAATGTTTCACGTACCATGTTATAGTGCTGGCGTATGTTAGTTTTTAAAACAACACTTGCTTTTCATTTACAGCATTTCTCAAGCTGCCTGTGGTGAAGGACCTGCTTGGTTATGTTTGTTTTGTGTTCTGTGTTTGTGGGTCTGGGGATGAAGCAACTTTGTTTTGTTTCTAGAAGTCATTTGCCATTGCTTTTGTAAAAAGAAAATGAAAAAGAAAATGAACCACTAGTAAAACAAAGATGCAGAACCCCTCAGAGGCACGGGAATACACCACCAATGTTTTTATTTGTTTCCATAGACCTGGAGTACTATCAACTTAGTGATTTTCATGAAATACTGTCAACTTAGTGCTTTTAGCCAAATGTAACATAGCACAGCCTTTCACAGTTTCCTAGACAACACGGCTCTACGGTGAGATTCTTTACTTGGAATTCTCTTTCCAATGGTAAAAAATTTGAATGACCCATAATGTCTAAAATGCCATGAAAATATGAGCCATGGAGTATACTACTGGCCAGCATTTAATAAATGCAGAAATCCATTTGCAGTGTCTATTCAATGGAATCGTTTTTTCTGATTCTAGTAACTGTGCCGTGGAAGAACTGGGTGGTATGTCTTTCAACTGTGGACTCATGTCACCTCCAAAGCTTTCCCAGGCCAAGTGTAGAAGAACATGCCTGCAGCCCTAGCACTTGGGAGGATGAGGCAGAATCACTGAGGATTTGAGGTTAGCCTGGACTACAGAGTGAAGAGATCCTGTCCCACGTAGAAAATAGATAGGTAGGTAGACAGTAGATAGATGCCCTGTCCCAGATAGATTGACCAAGTACACAGATGAGTAGGGAGATAGATAAACAGACAGACAGAAGACAGCCTGTCCCAGATGGATGATAGATAGATAGATAGATAGATAGATAGATAGATAGATAGATAGATAGATAGATAGATAGATAGATAGATACGTACGTATATACGTACATACGTACGTATGTACATACATAGGCAAACATGCAAACAAGCTAAATGGACAGCATTAAGAATATAAAAGTATTAAGTATAAATAAATCACTAATATGTATAAATGAATGCTTACAAAAGAAGGAAAATGGCTATTTAGAGGTTGATCTAATTATAAAAAAAAGTTGAGTCTACTTTGATTATGCATCAGTTGTACTTTCTTTCGTTTTGGTTTTTTGTTACATTTTTTTTTCCTTTTGGGTTATAGTCTCAAGTAGCCCAGGCTGGCCTCCAGCTCACTATGTAGCTGCTAGCTCAGGCTGGTCTTACACCCCTGAACCTCCTGCCTCTACATTCCAAGTGCCAGGATCAAAGGCATGCGCCATCACACCCAGCTCCACTTGAAGACAGGAGTTTATGTGTTTTATTGCCTTGCACTCAGATTCTTATTGCTGGATCATTTGAAAATGTAAGACAATGAATGATAACGTGCTTCTGAGATTTTAATTCTCCCTCATGTGCTGAAAATAACTTAACCTGCATAAGAAAATCCATTAACGTTCTTATTCAAATTGAAGAAACTAAAACATATACAATATAGAGTGTTTAAATATGTGCTTAGCATGTTGATTTAAGTTGTTCTGGTGATTTAGCAGATCAATACCCCTCTTTTGCAATTCTAGGAATTGAGTCCAAGGCCTTGTTCGTTTTAGGCAAGTGACCTACGCTCCTAACCCTTACACAGTTGTTTTTAAGGGATAATTCGTTACTAATTTTTCATTAAATAATATTTCATTATTATTTCCTTGTAATTTTTGTTTGTTTTGTTTTTCAAGTCAGGGTTTCTCTGTGTAGCCCTGGCTGTCCTGGAACTCACTCTGTAGACCAATCTGGCCTCAAACTCATAGAGATCTGCCTGCCTCTGCCTCTACCTTTCCAAGTGCTGCCACTTGGTGTATGCCACCACTGCCCAACTATTTTCTTACAGTTTTGCTACGATCCTATAACAACAACAGTAACAGCTCTTCTAACTGTCTTTGGGAAGGCCACTGTAATGAATAGTTGAAGAGAAACTAGGGAAATAGAAAGATCTGATTTGATCATTGCTTTGTAATCAACTCAGCTTTGAAAATACAGTGAGTGCGGAAAATTAACACTGAGTGGCACTGAAGCAGGAGGGACTATAAGAAGACTGAAGACCTCCCAGTCACCCACTGATCTAACAGCAAGACTGTGAGAAGCCACGTTTGAGGTGTTGTGTGTGTTCCTTGAAACAATGCGTGCACCATGCATATGGTACATATTTGCATATTGCCATGCCTAGTTTCTGCTCTTCCCAATTACCACACTATTCTAGATGTAAAGCCACAAAATATTTATTCTCAAACATCCCTAGAGTTCAGAAATGTAAAATGTGTCCACCTGGCTGTGTGCCCTCTGGAGACTCTAGTCTGATGGAAGATCTGCATCATTCAGAGTTGGAAGCTGCCCACATTCCTTGGCTTCAGGCTCAATCCCTGTGTCTTTACAGCCAATAAATAGCTCAGGGCTGAGATCTTTGGATGCTGCCAGCACTGGCCTTTTGGCCTTCTGCCTTCCTCTTCCTCTTGTAAGGTCCTTTATGAATGATTGGGCCCACCCCTCAAGGTTGTCTGATGCTTGGCCTTAATTCCATCTGCCTCCTAGTTTTCTCTTTATCATATAACCTAACACACTTACTTTCTCGGAATTAAAACATGGACCTATTCCCAGGAAAGGAAGCAGGACTCTGCCAACTCCACTAATATCCCCGTTCATCCTTACTGTCAGTTCACCAGTGAGGGCCCTTGTAAGGCAGCATTGGAACCACACCAAAATGCTTCGGTCCCAATGTTCTGTTCGTTCTGTTCCACGGTGCTCCCTTTATTTTGTCGGTGGTGGTGTTTTTGAGACAGTCTCTCTGTGTAGCCCTGGCTGTCCTGGATCTCACTCTGTAGACCAGGCTGGCCTCCAACTCAGAGAGATCCACCTGCCTCTGCTTCCTAAGTGCTGGGATTAAAGGCATACACACCACACCCAGCCCTACAATGCTCCTGTTAAAAACATAGGCAGTAAATCGGGCGGTGGCAGCACACGCCTATAATCCCAGCACTTGGGAGGCAGAGGCGGGTGGATCTCCAAGCTCGAGGCCAGCCTGGTCTACAAAAAGAGTCCAGGACAGCCAGGGCTGTTGCACAGAGAAACCCTGTTTCTAAACAGTCCTTTAAGTATTTCC